GAACGGAAATTAGGAAAAGAAACTAAAAAGAAAAAATTATGACAGGAAGTCAAGATTCAGCTGTGTTTCGATATAAACAATAACATGATGAGAATAAAAAACCAGAGTGGAAAGTGAACGAAAACTGACTTTTCCTGTTCTCCTGGTATCTGAGTGCACTTCCTACAGTGATAAAAGTGGATTCGAGTGAAGGAAAGATGCAGCTGCCGACGACGGTTGGGGACGTACCGACAGCCGAGAGAGCCAAGCATGAAAGTTAGTCTTTATATGTTTACGAAGAAAGATTTTAAAATACCAAGGTCTTCTTTAAGGTTTTTGAACTTTAGTGAAAAAATAACGAACGAATTTTCGTCCCTTACGCTATTACGAACTCAAACGAATCGGCAACTAAAACTATGTGTGGCAGAATATCTCTGCATTTTGAAAAATGCTGAAGAATTAGTCTCATTATCTTTGAATCGAGGCATCTTGCCGAATGCTAAACACATGTTGCGCGTTCGACTGATTGAACACTCCTCGGCCACAATGGGGCAGGCAACAAACCGCTGGGAAAGGTATTACAACTTTTTAAAAACTGGACTTCATCAATCTAGGTCTCAATTAGAGCCATTACATTCAGCGCGCTTTCGTGGTGTGTAAATTTAAACCTTCCATCAACAAAGCAGGTTGTTTCTGGATCTGATGAAATCGATGGGGTACTTCTTGGCTGACTCTTGATTGCCTAGTGTTTTCATGAGAAGAAAGTTGTTTATATATTCGATCAAGTGGTCACTCGTTAGTGATTGATGCAATGAATAAGGTAACTGAAGCAGTTTTGTATTCTAAGACAGGTAACTTTTTTATCAGCTCCTGTACCACATGAGACATCATTTGGCAAAATCGGCTGTTTTCGGTTCGTTAGTGTCTGTGGAATACGTTGCATTTATTTGTTCTGACGCAGTTCAGTCTTCGAAGAAAGTGTCGGTGTATCATTTCTGTACACTGTTTGCGCAGTGCATCATCAGTTGTAAAGAGTCAAAGTCTAATCACAGCTCCATAAAGAAACGGATCGCCTTTGTCGCTTGGAATAAATGAAGAGCTAATTTTATGATGACGGTCAGCGGCTTCACTCCGAATTTGTAGGATATCAACCTCTTGAGACTATCTGACTTTCTCATTTTGGCATCGCGAAACTGTTCCTATAGTTTCACCTTGTTCTTGCACTTCTTGCCTGGAACCGCTTCAAAGAATCTCTTCGTGTGCTCGCTATAAACGCCGACTGGTCGTCGTTGACTTCCTGCCTTCATCTTCAACCTTTCGTGTCCATCGCAAAGCTTTTTAATTCAACTTTTCACGGTGTGCTCGTTGAAGAATAGAAACTGTTCGTTTTCTTTGTTTTTCTCTTACAAAAAATATAAATTTTTATGAATTGGAACCCGCAATTTTATTTAGAGGCTGATATTTTGAGCGAGCTGATGAGCGAGGCGAAAAAGCTGAGGAGCGCAGTCGATGAACGGAATCCCCAGAGCCAGAAAGCTAGCAATACTGGTAAATACTACTTTATTAGAGTTTATATGGATGGATTCATCGTCTTCTACTGCGTCCATAATGATGGGGATACAAAAGCACTTTTTTATTACCTCACTCCCTTTCACCTCAGCTTTGCATCTAATTAGGTGGAGTTAGTTTTCTCCTAGGAATCGTCAATGTGCAAACTATTGGTGATTTAGTATTTTTTTAATCTTATTTACAAATTTTGTGATAACTAATCAGACATGTTTGGCACACTTCTACACAAGCCATTCCATGGAGTTTGAATAATACAGCACATACTTATTTGGACGGCCCGTCCTCAGTTGTTGTGCGGGCCCCAGCGCACATTCTCCATTTTTCGGGATTTCGCTGGTTTAGCCATTGTGTTTCCTTGGAGTCCCGAGGTCAGCCTAGCCAAAATCTGCCCCAGGCCTTCACCACTACGAGCAGTCGCCGCCCTTGTAGATCAGAGGGAGATTTGCCACAAAACGATTAGTTTGGTGCCAAAACGGTGGTGGATCCCGGTATTCGTTTACTCTTAGCTAGGCTTCTTGATGGAAACGCCGGACTCCTTCTCAGCCTGGGAGATCCTGCCAGTGGAATAACCCCCCCCCCCCTCTATACATCGCAGCCCGGCACGCACCCGGAAACACCTTCCAGCCGCAATGAGGTGGTAAACCGTTGGGAAGAATACGGCACATAGAAATATTAATATCCAACTGGAGATGAGGTAATTTCTGTAGCGTTGATTTGAAAAAAGTTTTGATCAGTCCAAAGACATTTGTGGTTCTATCTATAGTAAAGCCTCAATTCTCTTACTCCTGATAGGTCCGTGTGACGCAGGGGTCGGAGGCGCCTTGCAACACACACGTGGAGTCGATCCCCGCGTCAATAGCCCACCAACCTCTCTATCCTCCGGGGTCGACAAATTGGTACCAAACTAGTCTGGGAGTATAGCAGCACTGGCTCGATACATCGGCAGGCCACCGCGAGTCATTGTAAAGGCCAGATATGCATCCAATCATTTGCCAACAATGCTTAATGAAGTCGAATGCGTGGCGCATCGCTCAGCGATTGATCAACGCCGAGAGCTCTGGAGCTTTTTTATCTATGGTAAGGATTCTAGATGAGCTTAAGGTTCAGATTTTTTGCCTAAGAAAGGAAAAGTCAAAATTTTAACAATTTTAAGCTTACCACCTTTTATAGAAGGAATCCTGCTGCATGAACTAACTATGTTAAGTAGTACTGAAGAAAATAAGTGTTTTACCGACGAGGATTCCTTCTTTTACCGATCAGGAATTTAGGATTGCTTTATAAAATGATTTTTTTGGGTAGTGTATTTAATACACTTTGTGTATTTCAAAACCGGCTTCCCTTTAACCTCGGCATGGCTAATCACCATGCATTCTTCATTGATAAACTTACATGTGGTTGGTAAACAACCTTCTTCGGCTAAAGGTTCGACGTCTTCGTCTTCTTCAAAATCCATGATTCGAGTACATCTCAACAGACGTGCGTATTCTCGATATGGTGCCTTCGTCTTAATGTCGAATCGGATCTTCTTCAGCGAAACACGGCTCGAATGAGGCAATCTCACATGGCGATGCACTTTTATACAGGATATTGTACTATATTAAAAAGCATCGCCAGATGTGTTTGCTCCATTTGAGCGGTGTTTCTTCGAAAAAGAACGGATTCGATACGACAACGAAGACAACCACAACGAGAGCACGAAAGTCTGTGGACATCGAGTGGGATCATCGGCTCTGAGAAAAAGAAGGCGTCGAAACGTTAGTCAAATAAAATTGTTTCTCATTCTCGTGTAAGCTTATCAGTGAAAAATTATTTGGCTCTTAATGGTCAAGAAGAGGTGTTTTTCGATCCCGAATTGTGATTTACAGTGGGGATTCATCACCCTGGTAAGGTCTGGAAACTGAGCAGTTCAACATTTCCACCCTGATGCTCGGCTAAGAGGTGGACCAGCGACAGGAATCATTGCCATTCTGACAACGATATAGTCACTAGGTGGCAATCAGTGACGACATGGAAAAGCGCCTGCACAGCTGCCGATATTCCACAGAAAAAAGTTTTGCCCGACTAGCAAATTACCAGTGCAATAGCAAGTTGTAAAATGTTGTCTTTAGAGCCTGCTTCGGACAGCACTGCTCAGAATAATCAGACGTCGAGTCGAGATGTTACAGAGATCATGGCTAGGATCGGATCACTGGGTGAGTGAACAATCTTCTCCATCCTAGTGATATTTTGAAAGCTTTAAATCTTCAACCTGTTGGTCGTAAATCCTAAGCTGAATACCGGAAGAAGGCAACATTTCTTCCGTCTTTCGTTTACGAAAAACTAGTGAACTTCGGTATTCTACGTCCGCGATGCTATACCTGATCAGCGATTCTCCGTGCCGTATCATTCATGATTGTTGAGAAGCCGTAGACGATTTAACCCTGGACCAAATCAGCATTACTATTTACGGAGCCACATAACACTGCTAAATAAGATTATTTGAATAGAGAGCTCAAAAGCAGATGTAGATAAGCTATTGCTAAAAATCCACTGAGGAGATATGAAAAAGAGCAACCCATTTCTAATTATGATCAGAGAAACCGAGAAGGAGTTAAATACTAAGATAGAAGGAAGAAGAAGCGGAAGTTAGATATATGCCACCATATCGTAGGCAAGTGGTCACAATGACACTTCATAGCCACATGAAACTTTGTAAAATTGTATGTAAGGTTTATGCAAAAATAATGACAGGAAACACTGGATTGTTATACCAGCAGCTTAATAAAGCCTTATTAGTCAAAATAAAAATTATTAAAGTTATCCTTCAATCAAGGTTAAAAGCACCAGACCAGGTCACATTTTTGCTAACGAAAAAATGACAACTTCATTCAAAGCGTTCGCATCAAGAACATGCTCCTGAAAGACTTCCCATTGAATGGAATCGTGGAGAAGTTTTGTTTAGTGGCGATCACTCTTCGAGAGGTTCATGGGAGTACTGTAAATTAGGTAGGGTCCCATAGCCTATTTGTTTAACTTTTTGAGCGGTTATAGTTTTCTGTCTAGTCTGGTCATCAAAGGGCTAACGTAGGTTGTTCCAAAGTGCTTACTGATTGATAGTCATCCACCCTTTCATCATCGAGGCCAAGGTCTCTCGGTACCAAGCTTTTCAAACACTTTGCGTTCACAAGCGGTTCCGTGGCCGTATGTTTTGATGGCATTTCGAGTTCCCTCTGCTGTGGTGTGGTTTGTCCAGATTTGAACCAGTAAAGTAAAACTTTACGGAATTCTCGCGTTTACCACCATGCTCAAATCTTTGCAGTTTACGTGTCAAAGAAATTGCCACATGACAGCTAGTTAAGAAACAACCGAACGTTAAAATTATATGCAGCAGTACTACGAACAACAACTGCTAACTGCAGATAATGGCGAATATTTTTGTGTGAATCTAAAATTATCGTTGATTTCCGTTCGATATGAAGGCCGCTATCTCGTTTGGACTAAAACCATCAATTCTCATCTTTTGCGCTGCTAATAATGACTACACGCAGAACACGCAAGAGTTGAATGTTGATTGCCTTTCAATGTTGATCACTCTCTCTTTCAGTCGACTCGCTTACGAAGAAGCCGCACGGCCATCGCGCCGACGACCCCGCAGCAGGTCGTATCTTCCGCCTCACGGCTTCATTTCTGGAAGAAATCTTTACGCTTGCTAAATTTTTGCCTTATCGATCCCTTTCTTTTTCTTTTTTATGTGTTTGAATTTTTGTCTCATACGCTCGTCAACTGCTGTCAGAATTCAACAACCATAAGGTTAAAACATCCTCTTACTATTACTTTGCTCCTTACTACTTTTATTTAATGATGGGGAGGAGGGTATTAATATATGAGTGCTTCGACTACGTTTTGAATTTCTATCCTGTTCAAGAAGAGAAGGGCTAGCTTTACTTTCATAGGAGAGGTCTTTAGTAACACTATATAGACCGCTTAACATGTTTACGTTTTGAATGTCTTCGTCGATGTTCTGCTGTCACGACTACGAAAATTGGGAACTAACACAGCAAACTTTTCAAAATTTGTTGCAAGGCTTCCAGCTGAATGTGCTACTATAAACCTAGAATGTTTTGTCAGTTGTTCGATCAAAGTGGTTTTTCAGGATCACACCGTACTGGACAGCCTGTACAGGATGCCACAACTGGTGAATGGTTAACAATTTCGTACGCAGCCATTTTCATCGAGACAGAAATTGTCTACATTTTGTTTACTTTTTATTTCTGCCTTTCATAATTTTTATGTCAGGGTATTAAGAGAAATACAACCACAAGATTGTTGAGATATTTTCAAAACTCCAGACGGCAGGTGTCTGCGGTGGGGAACGAACGCGTCATTACCCTTTCTGATGAGTAACGCGTTCACTACCACACCATGCGGGTTTTTCGTTTCGCCTGTCTCTCACTAGTTCTATCGATCACGGCCATCACCAATCACCCGTCAACGGGATTGATCTGGGGAGTCCACATCGGCATTGAACCCAGTTAAGCTCAGGCTGTAGTTCAATTCGCAATGTTTACTTTTTATTTGTGCCTGCATGGTGTGGTGGTGAACGCGTTACTCCGGAAAGGACAATAGCGCATTCGTTCCCCACCGCAGACACCTGCAGTCTGGAGTTTTGTAAATATCTCAGCAATCTTGTGGTTGTCCACATTTTGTTTCTTTCTTGACTATGTTGTAATACGCAGTGAAAGCGCCTCTTGTTGCCTGATCCCAATTACTCCTGCAAAGGCACAAAACCTACCAGTACTTTCTTATCGGTGAATGAATGACTAGTATGTAGTAAGGAGCTTGCCTGTATGTTTATGTGATGGTTGTTCTGCTGCGCGAATTCCCTCAGCTCACAGCGATTTTCCAGCCTCAGTCTTGGGAAATTAAACCTTTATATACATAACAACTGCATTAATAACAGAAAAACAATTACGAAAAAACACTGGCAGAGAATAACTCAAGTTTAAAGCTGAGACACTGCAGATACTGCTGAACTGAGGCTATTAAAAAAACCATAGTGTTAAAATATTAATGCAACATCAACAACAACAGTAGCAATAGTCACGATATAACAATATAGCGGGTACTTAGCTGTGGGCAATGTCACAACAGCCCACAATATCCCACAACATCAATGGTAGATGTGGCGACTCACATCTTTAAACTTGCGTCATTCTAATTCCAGTGTTTTTCAGTCGCTACTGTTATGCTACTAATGTTCTCCTTATGTACAAATTACCCAAGTTTGAGCATGGTGAGTTGCTACAATTCGAGAAGTCTGGCGTGGCAGAACTGCCATTACGCAAACATCTAGACTAACTCCAAACTACAAGTATTTCCATTTCTCAAAACAAAGAAAAGTTTGTAAAAAAAGTAAAACGATAAACCACCTGCCTAAATTAACACTCTTGTCCTTCATCATTGTGTGAACACTACTAATCGATGGAGATCCTCCTATTGATTTATTTTCATAGCGCATCCGTACTCCATTGGAGCCATACGGTGTGTGAACTGTTATTGTTATTCAAAACGATGGAGTCGAAACTATGTTGTCTGTTCTCCTTCCTTTCTTGGATGTTCATCTCGGGTTCCTGCGTAATATCACATACCTCATATTCTTCGTATTCTTGTTGAGCCGTATTCTCGTTGTCGTATTCTCTGGTAGTCCGCATACGTCGTGTAGTCGCCTTCGTTTGATGAAGTTCGGAACGGCTCGATGTTTTAGGCAGCGGCGGAGAAAGTGTATTGACTATGGAGCTAAGACGATCTTTTGTCTAAGTGACAGCGCTTCTTTAACAAGTCGGAAGTATCTTGCTGGTACATCTTGCAGTAACTCCCACGACCGACTTTCTATCAACCTCGGCATTGATCAAGTAATTCTTCGCATTCTTGTTGAGCAAGCGCGAGGCGTTACTTTTATTTTTTTTACCGCCTCTGGAGGAGAATATTGGGCACGCTCTGAGGAAGGCGAAATCTGCCGAAACGTCGGCTTATTCGTGAACAAAGAATAAAAGTAACACCTCGCGTTTGCTCAACAAGAAAACGAAGAATTCCTTGATCAGTGCCGAGGTTAATAGAAAGTCGGTCGTGGGAGTTACATACCTCATATGTTCTCCATGGATTGAAGGCGAAACTAGAACCCATACGTTTTCCTATTGCGCAAACGATTTACTCATAATTTTTTATTCCACTCTCATTTAATACTTGTCGCCTTTGTAAGACAGCATTATCCGAATTGGTTAGTCGCCTCATCACCTTAGGGGGTAGAGAGTATTGCTTCGATATGTAGGATTGCAGCGTGCTGTTTGCACGTAATTACATCTGCTTCCGTCACTCAATCTTAAGACTTCGCTCAGACAAGAGTAAACCATTGTAAGAAAATCATTCTGAGTGAAACTGAAATCCAAACGCTATATCTTCCCATTTTCAAGACTTTGAGATTGCCTGTAATGATGGCATGGGAACAATCTAAAACAGTTTTTTCGCACGCTAACGTGGAAATCCTTCCCTAACAAGGAATAATGTAGTAATCAAACAGGATCGCTATTAGGTTTGCACATTTCGTGAAGTCAGTTCATTCAAGTACCATGAAACCAAAAATGAAGTGAGTACCCCGTTACATAATTCCATTGCATCTGCGTTGAGGTGAACTCAGGCCACGATTATTAGGTCGTTGTTCCTAGTTTTCTTTTATTCGATTTTCTAAGGACTTTTCTAGATGGTGATTTTCTGAGCGGCTTGATGAGTATCGCTAGCGATCTGAGCAAGGCCGTTGGCGAACGAAATCTGGTTGGCCAGTCCACTATTACTAACGGTTGGCCTTTATTGTTAACCGCTGAAAGAATTATGAACTTCAATAGCAGTGAAGAAGCCGATGCTCACAACGTTTTTTAAACGGCAGACAATTTTTTGTCAAAACTTGTTGTGAGTACCATTGTAAACGCTGATCTACATTAATTAAATCTAGAAAATCAACAAAATAATTACTAACACTAACGCGACACCGTGGTCCTCTATGGGAGTCATTTGCTAGGGATGCAATGGCCATTATAGCCTCTATAGAGATCACTTTGTTCTCCATGGTTTATTTTGGCGCACAGACCTGTACTTGTTTCCTTATACTTCATATAATTAATCGACAGCCTAAGCAACATAGATGTTATAGCGGGCGTCAACTGACGAAAGGCTCTATTCTGCACTTAGAAATATATAAAGATATATTTTACCACACAAATTCAGTGACTGGTAATTTGATAGCACTGTCTTTTCAATTGTAGTCGCTATAATCAATCATAGTTAACATAAGTTTCAAAGCACTTCCAAGTTCTGACAATGTGTTTACATGATGGACGATAGTAGGTTACAGTAACGAGTAGTACGCGTACCATTCATACAGCGATAGAACAAATCTCTTCTACAGTTCTATCATTCTCTCAACCCATTAGGTCTTTTAGTTATCGAAATATTATTGCCTATTGCCGAAAAACCAGCAGGTCCGTTCATACAATCAGAAGTCGTCCTGTGCGGCAAAATTGGGCGTCGCCGCGTGGGTATTAACACGATTTTTTATTTCAGATACAATAGATCGCAGAGCTTGCTGCAGTCCAATTTGGCATAGCTCTTAAGTTAACTTAGATCGTATAAGAAATAAATACCATCATTTTATTTGCAGCGCAGGCATGTGGCGATCCATGCTATCCCATAAAAATAGAAGGGAATTAATGTTTACTATGGTTTTATTAAAATCTGCCACATAACTTTTTATTCCCACGAAAATTTTAGCAAAATATCTCCGTAATAATTTCATATTTATTTCTGTAATTTTATGTTTCAGCACCTAAAACTAATGAATCAGCCCAAGAGTCACAGCAGTTCAATCAGCAGGACATCGAAAAGCTGACTGCCAGCATTGGTTCGCTTGGTTTGTGATATTTTCCGTACATATCACTGAAACGCTTAAAATATCTTCTCGGCCTATTATTCTTTGTCTGCTTCCTAATACATAGTAATAGAATAATATAATAATATAATCATAAAGGATAAAGGATAAAGCTCTCGGCGTTGATCAATCCCTGAGAAATGCGCCATGCATTTGACTTCATTAAGAATCGTTTGGAGGTGATTAAATGCATATCTGGCCTTTACAATGACTCACGGTGACCTGTCGATGTATCGAGTCAGTGGTTCTGTTCTCCCAGATAAGTCTAGTACCTATTTTCGACCTTGGAGAGATGGAAGGCTTGGTAGGCCATAGGCACGGTTATCGATTCCACGTGTGTCGCAGTGTCGTCACCAACCACTACGCCACACGCGCCCAAGTATAATAATATAATAGTATAAGAATATAATAATGTAATAATATAATAACGTGATAATATAATAATATAATAACATAATAACATAACAATGTAACGCTGTTACAATACTATAATAATAATAGTGCCATAATAGTGCCGATATAATAGTATAATCATAGTCGTCATCAGTAATCAATGATATAGTAATATAATCACTGACAAAGTTCTAAGAAACCGTGAAACTCTTGGCATCGATGAATCCCTTATGAATGTGCAATACATTCACTTCCATTCACAGAGTCTGAGAGTTATAGTCTCTTAAAGGTCTCTTGGAGGTAGGAAGGAATACTTATCCTATATCATGAATGTTCGCTACCACACCCATGCATCCGTATCCAGCCACCTTGTTCATCCTCCTAGAGAAATTTGATGCCATTGACGTCTCCTTTCCATGCCGATATTCTACCAACAACGTGCTTTTTTGTCTTCATTGAACTTCAATATGCTTTGATGGTTAATATTTTTCTTGTCCCCACATTTCTTTTCTTTACCTTTTGTTCGTAGACTGAGTAAAGCGGTGAAACACTTTCAGTCGGAACCATCCGAGACAAAGCCTCTGACATCTTTCACAAACCGGTAGCCGGACAGGGTAAGTGGCTGACGTTTCACTTTCGTGGTAGCCGTTGTTGAAAGCGATTAAAATAGTTATTAACTCACCAAGAAAAAAAAATTAGAGAACCAGATCTATTGTAAACATCGAATTCTTTCTAGTTATTACAGTACTAATTTTCTATTTGACAATTTTTTCTTTTATAGAACAAAAAAAGCTGGAGGGGAAGCCAGAGGAGAAGCCAGATCAGCAGCCAGTGATTGATGACGTGGAAGGCGAAAGCAAGTTTTTACAATCTTAGCTGCACATCGTAAAAATCACACCTTGAGTTCGATCAGACGTAGTCTTTTCAGATAGGCAAAAGATAATAAGAAATCTTATTCATATTCGTGTTTCTCGTGCTGATACAATGCACTTTTCGACGAAAATAAGTTTTCGCATTAAGGCGCACAAAACTATCGTTGTCGGTTTTTGTAGTCACTTTTATTAAGGGTTTTGCTTGGCGCAAAATTTGTCGCTTACTCATTTATCCCTTAAATAACTCATTCATTTTTTCATGTAAATGCTTCCATGTATGCTAGGGTGGAACACTGTCGTCAACTGTGCGTGCCCAGTCTTTCACCATTTTTCTCATTTACCCATCAAGGTGATGTGTTTCATGGATAGTCACTCAACTCTGCAAGTATCTTCTGCTGATTCAGAAGTGCCTTACTGCTCGGGTAGTGGTGGATGAATACATTATTACCTTTTTCAAGCGTTTCTGTATGGCACAAGTGCATCTTCTCTTTCTGTTAACCTCTGTCTATCCAATACCCTGCGTGGCCCCATGTGTAGAGAGTTGTATCCTAGAAGAAATGATTCATGTACTGTGTAAATAGCAACATTGTCGACGTAAATGTTAGCTCAATCATCAATTATACAGCAGGTCGCTCGATGTACTGTCTAGTCGAAGTTGGCTTTTCGGAGAGACAAGATGAAATAACAGTGCAGTTCTCTTTCTCTTCAAAGAGAATATAAATGCACTTAAAATGGTTCTGTCACCCTAGGATATTTAATCGCGATTCGTTTACATCCGATTTACTCACTGTCTCATTATTTCTTCCACTTTGCCAGAAAAACGAAGATCTAGCAGAAATTCGTCAATTCATTTGCTTCTTTAATCCACGTTAGGCGATTTATGAGAGCTGTGTTTTGTTTGTGCACATCTTCTATTAAATCAGTGGAGATTCGTCAGACCAAGCCTTCCTCTAGAAATGGTGAGAGGACGTGAATGCATTCGTGTTGTCCGTTGCCATGATGCACTTCAATCGGAGTTCTTCATGACAGTCCAGCGGTTTCGACGTGGTTCGTAAAGTACTGAGTACTCTGTCGGAATTCGGCTTGCTGAATTGACTTAAGTCTAAGTTTTGAAGCTAGAGAATTATGTCGAAATTTTGCCAATTCCTATTTATACTCATAAAATCCATCCATCGATATGCATGTTTGGCATTGCTAGATTCTAGTGTTCTTCGACGGTGTTCGTTCTTTCGATAAAGCGGATTTTCACAAAACGATGAAGATGGTAGCTACATGAGAACGGCAGATGTAGGTTTGGTGAATTTGTTTGTTAGTGGGTACGAGTGGTATGGCAAAGCTGATGCCACAAACATCTTACGAAACCATTTCTCTGTAGGTACTAGTTATCCGAAAATTGGAAAAAGTAGCTTCCGTTTCTATTCTCCTAATAAAGCACTTTCGTATATTCCGTGATATGACATGTGGCTTCGAGATCGATTGGTGTCTATGACGACTGTTCTGGTATTGCATGTGCAGAGCAGTGCATTGTGATCACATGTCGTCGATGTCATTTCACACCACAGTCATTGAGGTGCAGCATACGACCGTCGCTTGTTAGTTCGTTCATCGCTCTATGTCGTTGATTGGGATGTATAGTCCCCTATATGGTTGTTTCTTTCGTAACTCGGTACTTCTTTCGTGCTCTGCCAGCGTTCCCAGATCGTAACTATCGTCTTCTGTGAACAACAACGACAAATGAAGTTTTTGATTCTACACCACGCGCACCATATAACAGGATAGATAGCATGAAAGAAGTAAATCACGTAGCATACAACATTACTACTACTATTGCTTATAATTATAGTGGTAATTATAAAAATAATAATAAATAATAATAATAGTAATAATAAATAATAATAATAATAATAATAGTGTATAATGCTGAGATATTTGCAAAACTCCGGACCGCAGGTGTATGCGGTGGGGAACGAACGCGCTCTATTGTCCTTTCCGAGGAGTAGCGCACTTCACCACCACACCATCCGGGTCCTTAGTTTCGCCTGTCTCTCAGCTAGTTCTATTGATCTTTTGCCATCAGCAATCACCCGTCAACGGGATTGATCTGGGGAGCCAATGTCGGCATTGAACCCAGTTAAGCTGAGGCTTAGTTATAATCACAATCTTAACCCTTTTATTTACTGCAACAGAATTTGCTGAGAGGTAAGCAGAACGAAGGACCCGGATGGTGTGGTGGTGAAGTGCGCTGCTTCCCGGTAAGGACAACAGCGCGTGTTCGTTCTCCACTGCATACACCTGTGGTCCGGAGTTTTGCAAATATCTCAGCATTTCATACGAGTTATAATTCGAAACATAACCTGCCATTAAGAAGAAAAAGGCAGTAAATAAAAGAGTTAAGATTAGCAATTTAATTAAAGATAATAATTAATAACAATAGGTAGTGTTAACTTGTTATTTTCTGCCTACTTTTTTTAGTGGCAGGATATATATTGCGACATACAACCACAATGATGTTGAGATATTTGGTAAACTCCGGACCGCAGGTGGTTGCAATGGGAAACGAACGCGCTTTCGCCTGTCCCTCAGCTAGTTTTTTTTCTAATCACCACAGGTTATTGCTGACGGCACCGATAGAAAACTAGCTGAGAGACAAGCGAAACGAAGGACCCTCATGGTGTGGTGGTGAACGCCTTAGTCTCCGGAAAGGGTAACGGCGCGTTCTTTCCCCACTGCAAACACCTGCGGTCCGGAGTTTTGCAAATATGTTAGCATCGTTGCTGTTGTATTTCGCATAATATCCTGCCATAAAAAACTTTGGTGGACAGCAAATCAAGAACTGAACAATAGTAACAACAGTTATGTGGTAGAATGTGGTACAACAGAATTGTGGTAGAAACAGGACGCCGTAGAATCATTACTATACGATTCTATTTTTCCTATTATATTATAATCATACTTTCACATTCTTGAGAACTGAGGGTTACGAAGAAATGAAATGAAGTACAGTAAACATTCATACTATGAAAGAGTATTACGAGCCCTGTAATTTACTTCTTCATCTCCTCGATGTATTAGTTGAAAAAGAAACAGTGTTCTGAGAAGAACTCATCTTCAAAAGTTGCAGTTGGAAAAGTCGTGCTGACTGGCTACACGTCCGCTAACACTCTACCTGCTTCAGTGGCGACATCGAAGGAACACCAATAAATTGTTGTGTTTCAATTTTATCTAATCGTGACTTTGGTTTTTCAACGTTTATGTGTATCAATTTACGTAAATGTAAACTAATTTGGTAGAAAACTTCTATAAAGATTCAAATGGAGTTCAATTTTCGCAACATCAACATTCATCTAGTCAGACGAACGTAACACTTCAGACTTTATTCTATGAGTGTTCGATATTGTAATCATCGCTACCACATACTGATATTTTTTCCCATCTTATGTAAGACCATCACTTTAGTTGTTTTGCTTTTCAGTCACTTTCTCACCCAGTTAACTTCATTAGTGCCGCCAATGATCAGTCATCGATCACATCGCTAATTTCTCAATGCGATGTTTATGAATGATGTGAAGGTCACAAGCTTCCTGTTGAAGCTTTCATGAGTCTATCTTGCTGTCGTATCTGAGAACAAAGTTCTTCCCATGTATAACAAAATGTGTTCGCTTCTCTCACTTTCTGGTCTCGTTCCATCTCAGTGCGTAGCGCTAGTGTCTTTGTTTGGCATTCCCCGATTCGTGGCAGTTTGTCTGCATCGTTTATATAGAATTCGACCATTGAGTGAATTTAACCCGCGTGTATATGTCCGTTTAGGTTCACCTCTATCAACTGTAATCCATCTAATCATCAGATAATTCGATGGACACCAGTTGAGTCTCATTTGTTCCTGTCGCACACCGATGCTACTTTGTGGGCTTCATTCACTCGAAGAACACAATATGCATCACACTTTTTGTACGTATGAGGCACTCCATTTTACGGGTTTTGAACGAGATTATACAGGAATGGTCTGCCGAGATATCGCGAAGTAGACAGAAGGCTTGTTTATTGGACGCAACCAAAACCGCCCACATGCGCTTCCCACTGACATGACTGCAGACTTCTAAGCGAAACACATGTGATGGAACAGACACGCAATTTGCGCAAGTATGCATGAATATGATGTGGACACTTAAGTCACAGGAGAACACTGAATCTAATCAACAGAAGATACTTTTGTCTAAGGGATCACATCTGACGTGCGTCGAAACCCCCACCTACCAGTTAGGGCTTTGCACACGCCACGCGGCTTTGCAGTAATCAGTATGGTCTGTGGGAGGTCTTTGGTTCTTGAGATTTTATCATGCCTACCAATGCTTGATTATTCAACATTGTGAGCCTATTTATATGGATGTTGCGGAGATGACGGAAAATACAACCAGTTCCAACGATGCTGAGATATTTGCAAAACTACGGACCGCAGGTGTGTGGTGGAGAACGAACGCGCTATTGTCCTTTCCGGGGAGTAACGCGTTCATCACCACACCATGCGGGTCCAGATCAATCCCGCTGACGGGTGATTGCTGATGGCAAAAGATCGGTAGAACTAGCTGAGAGACAGACGAAACGAAGGATCCGCATAGTGTGGCGGTGAACGCGTTGCTCCCTGGAAAGGACAATAGCGCGTTCGTTCTCCACCGCAGACACCTGCGGTCCGGAGTTTTGCAAATACCTCAGCATCGTTGAAGTTATATTTCGCAGTATACCCTGCCATTAAAAAAGAGTAAGCAGTAAATAATAAGTTGAAATTCTTATTAGTTCCGTTGTCTTCTTGCGCTTTTTAGTTTCACACTTTTTTCAAAAGTTATTAACGTAAAACTACCACTTAAAACGCTGTAAAACATTAACTTTCTCTCCTTTCGGCTAGATTTTACAAAACCCCTACATCGATCCAGTGTGAGTTAGCCAGTTACGGTACTAGGCCTTGTTGTCACAGAAAATGTAACATACGCGTTTACGGATAAGAAGTCATTTATTAAAATAGTCATCAAAACGTCTACGATCAGCTTGCAAAGTCTTTATCATTGATTTAGATGCCTGATAACTTCGATATCTACTTCCACCCGTCCTTTGTACCCGTTGTCAACGATTCTTTCGAGGCCTAAAATTTGAGCATTCACAACTTTGCCTTATTGTTTTATTTAGTGCTCTTTAATAAATGATCAACTTCAAACTAATGATTTTTTCATATGTTCACCATTTCAAAGTTTGCTACCAGAACGTCATCGTAGAAATCACACTGTAGAACTACAAAGATACCTAAAGAAGTTTTTTAAGAAGCTACGGATAAAAATCCTTAAGAGTAGACTAGAGGTGAAAACACATGAAATTCGAGGGTTTCGGCGAACCATTTCTAAAATTTTATGCGAAAGAGCAAAACGTTAACTTTCCGAATCCGGATCGAAGCACCTGCCTTGGAATTGAAAGAGTCAAGCCTTTGATTCTTTATTTTATACCGATTTCGCCTCATTTCACAGCAAACGATTCCGCTAGCTTAACTAAGTATGTAATTGAGGTTTTTGAGGCTAACCTACCACTCTTTCGTTTTTCAATCCTTCATTTTTTCTCTTTTCTATGCACAATATGACAATTTACTTTTGACATACGAAGCTGGTAATGAATTCTCAACGGCTCCCGCCAGGATCACAGTCTTGTAATGTGGCGATGGTGGTAGGGATGGCGCTTTGCTGTCAGAATACTGATAGGTTCGACATTCTATCACGCTATTCACGCATTCAATACATACTGCAAATAGGCAATTCACGAAACGGCCGCCATTAACGTATGAGCTGACATCTCACTGTAAATGAATCCCACCGCTCAGTCGATGATATCCTTTCTCCTGTAGATCTAATTCGTCCGCAAACTCTTCTGGTACACGCCATACACAACCATACACCTAGAACATAAGTGTAGCTAGCAAGCTGTTTCTTGCCCATACATAAGATTAACTTGTTAGTTGATGAAAGAAGAACGGCTAAAAAATAACTTGGAGAAAATTGGATCTCAAGAAAACAAGCTGACAGACATTACATAAGTTCGCTAATTTTTTTCGAATCGAAACAACGTCTCTTAATGGACTCTGCGAAGATTTCCTTTGCTGTAGACCTCATGTGTAAGTAAATGCCGTACGGATAATCTCCGAGCAAAACAATTACCAAACTGGACGGACCGTCAACGCCATACTTGTCCTAACCGTTATCCCCCAACTGAGGAAAACGATCTTAACAACCCTAACGACCCCTTACTGACGCTAGCGATTAATCACAGAAGAGGAGGAGATCTAGGTAGCACCGCAATTGATTCATCATCCCGCTAGACAAGATTTAAAGCCAAGATCCTCTCTTCTCCACACATACCTTTTCTATTAATGAATTTTAAAAAGACTCAACAAACAACATAAAATACTGAAAATAATCGAGAACATCGTGCTCACCTCTGCTCCCGACTTTTCCTTAATCGTTGCCAGACCGCCGTGCCACCGCGTTGAATTGGCGACGAAGTCGAGTTCATAGTTCTTCAGGACCCCACTTCTCTCGAATTCTGCACCTTTGATCTGCCGATAAGTGTACTATGCACTAATAACATCTATTTTTATTATTAAACTACATAACTTGGCACAAAAAATACCTCGTAGAAAAAAAAGTAAGTAAAGTAGCGTTGCAACTTAACCCCGGTAAACGGTTAACATTGTGGTTAAAACCAATAACAGAGGAAAACCCACATTATATTGAAATTTGATATCATTTAACACTGCGAAAGAATGTTGATATCTGGAATCCACCCCAAGATCTATTTGAAAACTTCTTGGACCATTTTGTTTAAGAGATAAACTGCAAACAGAGTCCTATAGAAAAGGAACTGTGGCATATACGTAGACGAAATAAATCGAAGAACTCAAGCTGTCGAGATTGCAAATGGAGCTGTTTCAGCAGTTTTATGCAGCATAATAATTTTTTCAACTGTAGAGAGAGAAAGAATGGAAAAATGATTAACCTGTACTCGTATTCGTTCCTTCAGTAAATTACTACCGTAGGCGAAGTAATAGAAGAATCTCGTCATCGAAAGACTATCTTTAGCTTCTAAAACTTCTAGTGATTTCCTGTATAGCAACAAGACGAATTGTCAATGCCAGTGTAATCGTCACGCACACGAAAAGGACAGAAAAAGAAAACAAATGGGATTACTTGCATAGAGATCGATGCTACATGAATTTCAGATTTGAAGAAGAAGACCTGTTAGACGTAGCGAAATGTTCACCATAGGTTTTTAGAGCATCAAAAGTCCGTTCGAATTCCCCTGAGAGGCCATCCTCAGACGAAGTGGGGGTGAGCCAAAGAGAAGAACAAGCAGCTGCTTCGAAATGGAAGGTGACATGAACTGAATTCGTCGACAGAGTCAGACGATTTTCGTGAACACCAATAAAGCGAACTGTTTTCATTGCACTGAACGTGAGCATGTTTTTAGAACAATTCACAACTAAACGTACTGATGTTAGCTTTCTATTTAGTGCCTATTACATGGATTATGGATTACATGGATTACATGGATTTTTCATGGCAGGATGTTACGTTTGAAACAACTACAAAGATGCTGAGATATCTGCAAAACTCCGGACTGCAGGTGTATGCGGTGGAGAACGAACGCGCTATTTTCCTTTCCGGGGGCTAGCGCATTCACCACCACACCATGCCGGTCCTTCGTTTCGCCACTCAGCTACTTCTACCGGTGCTAACGTATTGATTTCAATGTCTCTTCGTGCTCGAAAATAATTTCAACTTCAAACAAACATATCTCAACTTATAAGGGATGGAAGAAACACTGATCAATAGGTTAATCCTTTCTTTTTTAAGCAGACACGAGATTGTTAATAGAAGCCGCATCCAACATTGGCTAATGTTTCGGTTTTTTTCGCTTCTTGAGAGCCTGTAAAGATCACTTTTCGAGAAAACACACAGCAAGAAGTGTTCGGTGTTGATCCACTCGTTAAAGATGAGACACGCATTCGACTCCATTAACCACCATACAGGTGATCGAATGCATATTTGTTCTACAGTATGACTTGCAGGGATCTAGCAGTGTTTTTTCTACCTCTCAAACAACTCTGGAGCCAATCTCCTCATCCCAGAATTATGGGAGGCTTGCCAACCTCTTTGGGAGAGGATTTAACCAATGACCTTATATTTACTGCAGGGCAGTTCTAGCCACTTCGCAAGACGCGCTCAATCTCAGCTCACTGCGAAGTTTTTCGGTTGGACTAAAATCAACAGAGTCCATAGATCTTTATCAACAGCTGAAATGAAACCGAGGCCCGTATCTTGATTAGTGAACCAATTGCGTCCAACAGAATATGGTGATGGCCACGAATACATAGTCAATGTTTTTCTGTGGTGGGTGTACGATGAAAGTTGTAGAGCTTTCACTTAACGAGAAATCCGTGTGGTGCAGTGGTAAAGAGATAAAAAAATGAAGCTCTGGGCGTTGATCAATCCCTAAGGAATGTGCTATGCATTCGAATTCATTAAGCATCGCCTGGAGGTGAATCCATCCAGTGCTGCTATCCTCCCAGACAAGTCTGGCACCAATTTGGCCACCTCGGAGAGATAGAGGGCTTGTGAGCCGTCGATTCCATGTGAGCGCGGCAGCGCAACTCCGACCACTGCGCCACAACGGCCCTGGAGGTTAATTACCAAAAGGTAGGGAAATGATACGAAAGAAAAACGGACGAAAACTTAAATGCAGCCCGCATTACCATTCGATGATTAACAAGTCTATAGTTTACATTTGTAACCTGCTGAGAAGAATGAACAGTGGAATCCGACTAGAGTTACGAGGTTTTCGCAAAACGAACAGAAACGAATTCTTATAACAAGGGTTATTTTTACGATGATCAAAGCCAATGACGAAGTGCAAAAGAATCGATGAGCAGATAACACACACAGAGACACGAATTCGAAGAGTTTAGTTTGATGGAAACCCCTCGACGAGTTGCAAAGATAAAAAAGAACGGAGATCAGAAACGTCGAGGTCCACTCGTAGGTCCAAAAACCTCATAGCCCTAAGACAAGTTGGTTCACATGAAGAACCACACCGACTGCGAGAAGGGCGCGAGAAATCGATAACCGCTGCATCCATCGACGTGTACAGGGCGGCGCCTTATTCATGGACACGTGGCCATTCCGTGGCACAGGAATCTAAAAGAAAAAGGGAGAAAAGTTGCAAAACCATGAGGACTCACTGTCAGCATCATTGTGTTTGTATTTCGCAACATACCCTGCCGTGAAATATTGTAGTAAGCAGCAAATAAAAGGTTAACATTGTGATTCCAACTGCCGCCTCCGCCTAACTGCGTTCAATGCCGATTTGTGATCCCCAGATCGATCCCTTTGACGGGTGAATGCTGATGGCACTGGTAGATAGAAAACTAGCCGAGAGAAAGGCAAAGCAAGGGCCTCAGTGGTGTCGTATGTAACACTCGAACCCCGTCAGATGGGGTTATCGTGGTTCGATCTGGCCTGGGATCCACGTTTTGCAAATATCTAAGCATCACTATGAGGTTTATTGTTTTATAAGGGTTTTTTCAAGTCTTCACTTGGAATAGAAACTTTTTAGAGATAAAATTAAAGCAGCTATTAACGTCCTTTTTAATTTTTCAAAATTTGTAATCGTTTTTCGGACAACGAAAAACGTAAAAGCAGACCTTTGTACGGAGCAGAGATGAATGTCGAGGTTCAAAACTGATTAATCTAATGAATGTGGCTTGTTTGATCCGTTCTGCAGTCATATATTTGTTGGTGTCATCGTAGATTCGGAGCTGAGTTGTCTGTTGCCGAGTTCCGCTGGTCAAGTGATCGAGCATTCGCTGTTTTCATCTTCGTGACGGGACGGCTGTCAATCAACCGACTACAAATGGCTGCGGGTTAATTCGCCCTGCATGGGTCAGAAAGCTCTTTTGGAGAACGCAAGAATGGCGCTACATAAGATGGGCACTTTCGGTTACGTCTACGAATTTCCAACTGGAGTTATTTATCACTTTATCATTTTCGCTGATAAGACATCTGCAGTTTTGACATAGACAAGAGTGCCGAATTGGAATACAACGAAACATTTATGTTCTTATCCTTTGAATCATGTTCTTCCATAAATTGGACTTAATGACTTTTCAAATTGAACTGCGTGAACTACTTCCAAGTGCGATTTTAATGTCTTCGAGCGTTTCTACATTACTGTGGCAGGAGTAAGCCGACAAATCCTGTCCACACGGAACATTCTGCTTCTAGATTTTCTTCGGCAACCTTCTCGCCTTCCCAAATTCTCAAGTGGTCTCGTTCTTGAGTGGTACAGCATAATGAATTTGGGCACCGTCGTCGCGCACGTTGTCGTAGTTCGCATGCCAACCGAAGACCTCTCAAACCAACCATCTGCACACCCGTCCAGAATGAAATGGCCTCCTGATAAGCAACCTCGTCTGCGAAAGAAGCGTTCATTTTCTTGGTTTCAGGTTTCATGACTTTCATGAAGGTTTCATGAATGGAGCAAAGACTTGGCAGCATAGTTCCAATAGTTGTGCATCGCACACCAACTTCAATTTGACTCTACCACAGTCACGGAATTGGTGAAATTGTTGCATTCCCTAACATATCATTATTATAATGAATATATGGTACTATCACGGAAATATATTTACGTAAATTCTCCAAAGTAATCCGTCAAGCGATTGCGCTCCATCTATTTATGCGGTTCTAGGCACGAATTCTACCAGCAGCCTTCCACAATGTAGCTTTTTCTCCACTTTTCACTAGAGCAAAGATGTGTAGAGCATTCGAAGTTATTGGAAGAAAAGGGGAAACTTCGCACATATCATTGTAGTGGTTTGAAAGACGACTTTCAGATACTCTATGGTTCAGGGCTCTGCAACAGCTATGGGATTCTGTAGGCTCAAGTTTGATGAATTTCGTTGATCTTGCCGTTGCAGTGCATCGGTTTTAGGCGACATTCACTGAACTGCCATGGCGAAAAAAATTGAATAAGGACGAAGTATAAGTGCTTCTCGAATGCTGCTTAGGTGAGGTTCAAACTGAAGGCCACGAAGAGCTTCAGTTGGAGTATCTGCTCGTTTTGCCAGGGTAGAGAAGAACGCTGTGGAGTCGCACCGTTGTCAATAAATGGGGTCAGTAAATTCTACTCAGAAACTGAGCAGTTCATTTTTTGGAAGTACTGCTACAATTTAATACAGATGTTCTAATGAAAATTCGCAACTTCTTCACAACCATAAAACGACTACAGGAAATGACCGTAGCAGATTGGATCAGAATTCTTAGTGAGAAAGAATGAAGTGCATCGAAAAGATACAAAAAGTAAAAGAGATTGACAGACACTTAAAGCAATGGCTGTCGCTCGGAAATTTCGAAACAAACAGAGATTCGAGAAGGTTCTTTCTCAATGAGGCTGAGATAAGATATTTGGAAAACTCCGGACCGCAGGTGTCTGCGGTGGGGAACGAACGTGCTATTGTCCTTTCCGGAGAGTAGCGCACTTCACCACCACACCATGCGGGTCCTTCGTTTCGCCTGTCTCTCAGCTAGTTCTAACGATCTCTGCCATCAGCAATCACCCGTCGGCGGGTTTGATCTGGGGAGCCTAAATCGGCAACAAAGCCAGTTAAGCTGAAGCTGCAGTTATAGTCACAATTTTAACTTATTATTTACTGCCTAATCGATTTAACGGCAGGGTATATTGCGTTCGTATATTGGTATCGGCAACAGCGCGTTCGTTCTCCACCGCAGACACCTGCGGTCCGGAGTTTTGTAAATATCTTAGCATCATTGAAGTGGTATTTCAAAATATACCATGCCGTTAAAAGAGTAGGCAGTAAATAATAAATTAAAAAAGTTTTTTTTTAACAAAAAAATTCCATTTCAATTGTGTTGTGTATGATTACAAAGGGGAATACGCCTGGAATCTGTTCATATGATAGAACGTTCAAAGATTTGATTAGCCTTTAAAGACAGATAGTCTAAAATTTAGACCCACGCAGATGTTGTCAACAGGTTTTATGGCCGGAAACTGCGGATATCCTTAGAAATTTAGTACGGTCAACTTTTAGATTTTCTAGTTCGAAACTCCTTAAAAAAATAATACGTTTGCCAGAGTTTCTCGAGGCTGATGTCCACAACACAACTGTATTTCAGTTGTAAGTTTTTTCGTTATTTTGAAGGTCAATGTTACTGAGTTCTCCAATGTTATCTTCACCAAAATCGCTTCGTTCTAAGCGACCAAAAGGTGTTGGCGAATTACAACGGCCGTCTCCACTTGAAATCGTTCTGTGTTCAATCAATAGCTATGTTTTGTTAGGTCGCTCCGTGAACATCTAACTCTAAATGGCATATGACAGTCTAAGAAACGAGAGAAGAGAACAGCAGTATGGCCTAAAGTCGTGGCAAAGTGGCACAGTACTGATGTCCAAGTTAGACGTTCTCAAGGCCAATTTCCACGGTGTCATGTACTAATCCAATGGATGGATTTTGACTATGCCATGGCTGCATCATTGTATTCAATTGTCTTCTACGTAGAAAGCCATGTTATGGCAAGGTAAAATGGCTACAGTGCGGATCAAAACAACATATACCAACTTCTTGAAGGTTCATTAACAATACAGAAACGAATACAAGCCTTCTAAACTCTGGACATCAACTAAAAGTTCCGCGGCCGAGTTTCTATTAATCTCGGTATTGACCAAATAATTTTCTATGTTCTTGTTAAGAAAACACGAGGTGTTACTTTATTGTCTATTCCTCCCATTCCTTTATTCTTTTAATCTTTTATCTACATTAAAATTCATGTCTGTTTTAGTGGTTTATAAAAATTTTTTAGCTAAATAAAAATGCCTCCACAGTGGCTTACTATCTCATCGTGGATGATGGTGTAGTGGAAGCCGAACTGCAATCTACAGAGGTCAGCAGCGCATCATCAAATCAAATTCGCACGGAGATGGGAGAACTGCTTGGTGTTTACATCCGGACGAACCACTAAAAACAGTTAATAGTAGACTAACGCTAGGAATCGTTGTCGCTCTGACGAAACCCCGACACCTTCCCCGACATCTGCTATGTCTGGCAGCAATCAACGGTTATGAAGCAAGAGGGCTTGGCACGTGTTTTTAGGACTCAAGGGGAAGAACATGACCAAACTACCAATATAATAATTAGTAAAAAAAACATGGTGAACCAATACGATTGAAGGCAAACATGACCATCCAACTAGCAAGTTCATTATTTGACATGCACTAAAACTAGTTCAACACAGAGAAGTAGCAAACAAAGCATATAAAACAACTTGTAATCACTTGTATCATCTTCGCCCCGTTGATCGTCGGGTGACTCAAGAGAACACCACCAATCCTGTTTAGATGACCTGAGTGGAAAGTTTACAGACGAAAGACAGCGGACCGATTGGATGAAGCCGAAATCGTGGAGGTTACCCTTCTTGAACAATAGCACGGTCTTGCTGGTCTTCCACTGAATAAGAAGCCTTCTATTCTGACAGGTAACGTGTGAAGAGCCGAACGGGTGTGTTGATGACGGCTAGAGGAAGTTTCTTCAAGTGTTCAGCCTTATACTCTTCCAACCAGTATTGTTCGATTTTTCACCGATGAAATAGCATGTCGGATTTTTGAAAAGAAAACCAGTAGAACGACGTATCCGTCTCCCTTTATTTCATATCGAGGAAGGAAGACGTCCCCATTGAAGAGATTTGAATAGTAGTCGTGAATGATTATCTCCGTTACCTTTCTGGAAGTTGTAGGTGTTCTATCCTAATGTCCAAGTGCAATCATCTTGGTCTTTTAATTGGTGAAGTCTCGGTGGGTTTTGCAATTGCTCTTCGCGGTTGTCTGTGGCTTGTGCGATTCCGCGTTGGCGTATTAGGGAGAGTGTTTCTGGACACAGACATCTCTTGGTTACCGTGAAGAAGTTAAATAAGCCACTCGTATTCCTTGCCCATGTTGCCAATAACAACATCTTCTCAAGAGCCAACTAATTATCTTAATAAATCACAGGCTGAGATAGCTTTGGGACTTCGGTTTTTGAACTTTGCGGCACGCTCTCCTTTTCGCGAGAAATGGAAATTTACGCAAAAAAGGCGATGGTCCGGTTTTTAGAGCAATAGCGACATCGGTTAGGCAAAACCTTCGATTTACTATTACTCAATCTATTTCGCTACTATGCTCTCTACTGGGGCGCACGTGGAGCAGTGGTTGGAGGTGCCACTGCGGCACACACGTGGAATCGATCCCCGCGCCCATGGCCCACCAAGCCCTCCATCCCTCCGGGTCGGAAAATTGGTACCAGACTTGTCTGGGAGGATAGCAGCACTGGCTTGATACATCGGTAGACCACCGCCAGTCATTGTAAAGGCCAGATATGCAATCAATCACCTCCAAACGATTCTTAATGAAGTCAAATGCATGGCGCATCCCTCACGGATTGATCAACACAGAGAGCTTTATCCTTTATCCTTTTACTCTCTACTGACATAATCCCACGTCCAGCACTGAAAGCTGCGGTTAGGAAATAGTGAATTACCATGAATGGTTTTCTTGGTCATAATCGACTCAGACAGCCGCTCAGTGCGAGCATGCCATTTTAAATGGTGGGTCTTAGCGTGGCGTCCTTTACATGTTCTTCTAGGTCCAATCTTAGCGTTGAAATCTTCGGTGATGACCTTAAAGAATGCATGGCCTTCTCCTTAAAACTTCTTCGAGATCGTATACAGCGCCTTGACTTTGTCTTCTTCAAAGCTAGATATCGGTGAGTAGACAATGAAGATTGCCAGTGTCGTCCGATTGGGCTGTTAATTGTTCGAATGGACCTATATTCATGAGCAAACAGGTGCTGACGATGCCGCTAACACTGCAGACTCCTCTATTGTCCCATGTTTCAGGGAACACGTCTTCTCTGGTACATGGATGAAGTTGAATGAGTAGCGTCCTCTCGTGTCAGCCAAATCGATGATATCGTACTCTATCCTCCTTGAGTGCATGATCAAACGACTCAAGTGCAAGTGAACACCCATTGTGGATACAGATCTTCACACTGGTCTTAGAGATTTAGAGAGCCTAGAATAACCCCGAGATTTCAGCAGCGTTTCCGTAATCGTCCTATCCAACAGTGCCGTATCGTGGGCTATTTCGACGTGAAGGGAGTGAGGCGCACTCATCTTACCTTGTTTAGCGCTTGATACACACGTATAGATTGCTCAGCTCTGAACATATAGGTTGGTTATACTCACAGGTAGCTTCCCGGTCTCTCGCAGAGCGGACGGCGAACTTACTTGCTGGAGGTGACTCCTAACAGCCTCCCGCATGCTCCCCTGTCACTTGATTGTAGGTTTGACCGCATTTACTTGCAGAATAGGATCCGCATAAACGGGAATACACACTCACACACGCGTGTATTCTACTGTGCGAATCCCAGCACTTCTCACATTCGATTCGTTTCCTCGCATCCAT